AAAACGTGGTTGCCAGCTTTTGCGCCTATAACACGGTTCATATGTTTGCTCTGGTTGAAGGTCTGCCAAAGGGCCCAAAGAGTTCAAACATCAATAACTGTTCAACAGCTACCCAGTTTTCAACCAAAGTGTCAAGACCCAGCTGAGGTTTCCCCACTTCCAAAAACTTAGACCACTTTCGATTAGATGAGTTGATCCTGGTCAGCCCGTTTCGCCCAAAGAATCTTGGATGGAATTCACACCTTTGACGGTGCGCACACGGCAAGTCCTCCCCAGTGGACGCTCCCATTTCTTGGCACGAACCGGTTGGCCAGAAAAGGTGAGCAATCTCCTTGTTTACCACCAAACTGGTCTTCCAAAAAGTGTTTAAAGTCCAGGGGCTCAGGAAGTGAGAAGCAATATCAAACTAGTTTAAACAAGGCCCCCCCAAAAAAAAGCCTCAAACTACCCAAGCAACAAGTGAACATTGCCCTACGATTTGGTGGCGCCCATATGGTAAAAAAATAGAGGTGCAGGTCCGCTTCGTGGCTGGATTGGCCAAGATTTCGGGCCTTCCAACAACCTGGTTTTGAGACCAACCACCTCCAGAAGCGCCAGGAGCCTCTGGGCACAGGAAGGGTCCAAACCCAGACAGTCCGTCAAAACCCGAAGTGCTCAGTGCGTCCTTTTGTGGGTTTTCTCAATTTCCTCGCCTTCTCCGCCCGACCGAATCTTCCATTTGGCTAAAACTCCTGGAAAAAAACAAATCCAGTAGCAATGGATTCCCTCTAAAACCATCAGGAGAAAGCAAACATATTTTCAAGCAAATGGAAGCAGATTCGGTACGTCAGGGTACTAACCATGGTCAGGGGAAAAAGCAACTTCAGGATGGACTCCATTTAAAACCAACAGGGGAAAAACAACCTGGACCCCCAATTGACCCCTTTTTTTCTGCCTTTGTACCCCTTCTTTTTGTGTCAAAGGCAAAAACAAAGGGGTCCTTTCAGGGTCCAGGAAAAACAAAAAAGACATTAAGCAAATGGAAGGGTCAGGGGAAAAAGCAACTTAAGGATAGGCTCCATTTAAAACCAAACAGGGGAAAAAAAAGCAAAAAAGACTCAAGCACCTGGACCCCCAAAGGGCCCCTTTTCCTTTTTTCTGCCTTTGACCGCAAAGAAAAACGGGGGTACAGGGGCAGAAACAAAAACGGAATCGGTCCTTTGGGGGTCCAGGTTGTTTTTCCCTTGTTGGTTTTAAATGGAGTCCATCCTGAGGTTGCCTTTTCCCCTGGTTAGTACCCTGACCTACCGAATCTGCTTCCATTTGCTTGACAATATGTTTGCTTTCTCCTGATGGTTTTAGAGGGAATCCATTGCTACTGGATTTGTTTTTGTTCCAGGAGTTTGACCCCAAAGAAAAAGGGGGCACAGAGGCGGAAAAAAGGTCCAGGCACCTGGAAGGACTCGCTCCGCTTCGATTCGATTCGATTCAATTCCCAGGCGCGCTCCAGGTGGCCGGCCTCGTCGAAGCCGTCCAGGATCACCAGCAGGCGCCCGTGCAGCCGCGCCAGCGCCAGCAGCTCCCAGTGGCCCGTGTCCTCCCCGGCGCCCGACCCACATGCCTCAAAGGCATGACCCGAAAATGGATTTCGGGTTACCTGGTTTCCTGCAACCCCTGGCTTTTTTCATGACCCGAGGCAAAAATGGGTCAATGACACCATTATTTTGGGTCATGACCCATGTTTAAGGGTCATGCAGACTCCAAACATGCCTTTTGTTGGACACTCCCCATGCCTTTTGTTACCTGGATGCCTTTTGCTGCCTGGATCCCCAGTTGCCTTTAATTTTCCAGCCACTTTCGCCAAATTGGGCGGCTAAAGTGGCTGGACAAAAGCAGCTACTTGGGGATCCAGGTAGACCCAAGTGGATGGGGACCCACATTGGGGTGGCTTGTCTTTTTCGAAGTTGGAACCCCTTTTTAAGGCTTGTTTTAAGGTAACAAAAAGAACACCGATGATTTTGTTTGGGTCCAATTCCTTTAAAAAAAGGAAGCCAACAGGATACTCTAAACAAACAAATGAGCTTGCGTGGGACTTGGTTGTTTCACGCTCTGGGTTGTTTGGCTTGCAGTGCTGCCAACTTGAAGGCCAACGCCAGTCAGGGACCCAAACTACTTTGCCCGAGATGGCAGCAGGAATAGCGGAACAGCAGTGCAGCAGTCAGTCAAGAGCAGAAGAGCAGCAGTGGCAGTATGAAGCGGACAGCGTCGGCGATGAGGGCGACAAAGCGGCCGGCCGCGAAGCCCAAGAAGAAACTTGCTTCGAGGACTCAAACTGCTGGGCTCAAACTGCAAAAGCCGAATCCTTCTCGGGAATGTCCTTGTCTCCTTCTCGGCCTTTTGTTGATCAAGCAAATGTTCTACGCTTCGGATGGGGAGCCAGAAGCAAGATATGTTTCAAATCTTGCAAAAAGCCAGAGCCATACCTCGCCTCATGTGAGCATTGGTGAGCTGCCGCTGTATATAACCGGAAAGATTACTTCCAGCAATTCACAGGGCAGAAGGCCCAAGTAACCCAAAAACGTGAAGAATGGGGCAAGATCAACTCAGAGGACAAAGTTTCTTAACTGCACGCAGTCTGACTGTCAGTTGTCGGCGGTGTTTGTTTGCTGGATGGCATCAAGTACGGGTTCTTGCGGTTTGCCTTGCTTCGGGTATAGGTATAGCCCTTTTGGTGGAAGCAGGTGCCCCAAACCTTACTTTTTGTGAAAAACGATGCCCTAAAACTAAGGAGCCCGTGGCGCGGGCAATGTTCAACTGCGACCAGCAGCATCACCCTGCAAGCCAACCCCAGTACCTGATGGCGCCTGAAGATGGCGCCGATTCAGACTTATTTCTTGCCTCTGATATTTAACCTGAACGTTCCAGCCT